TGTTCTTGTAATTTTAAACAAAAAAAGAAATATAAACGAAAAAATCTGAATTTTAAAGAGCAAGTTCGACAAAACACTTAAAAACATTTTCTAAATGAATTTGTGTAAACAAATCGCATGAATCGGTTTTTTATTTTCAAAATATTTTTGACATATCATTGTTCTACAGCAGTTGTTTGTTGTAATCGATTGCTGATGCGCCTACCTTATTAAATCTGCCTTGGACACAACTCTAGAATTATTAATCCGTTGATGAAATTTCATTTATAACGTTGTGGAAAAAGTACAATTATCAAATACATAAACACAAGAGAAAAGAAAATAACAATACCATATTTAGCCAAAAGAGATATCGATTTTGTACTAAGACAGAGGCATATAAACAACATAGAATATGGCCTTAACCGTTGGACAACTAATTATGGATGCCCAGAGAATGGCGAGTCGTGTAAAAGAATTGGACGCCCTAAGCAGCGCCTTACTTGTGGAGGCCGAAGGTAACAACCGTTATGTGGAAAGTTTACGTCAGTACCAAGACGAGGTGGACTCCCTAAATCGCATTGCCAACAATAAGACCAATGTGGAAATGGTCAATCGCATTCAACAGCAAAATGCAAACAGTTCTGAAATACTAAAGGAAAATCGTGAACTGAAGGTGTGTATCGAGGATTATGAAAGAGCAATGGACTTGATAATGCAGAAGTACCGGGAACACACAAGCAGCAAGGTACTGGAGAGCAAGCTGAATTTCAAGGAGGTCTACAACGAAAAACTTTGGAAAATTATACGCGAGCAGAGGGAAAAAATCAATGAAATGGCTGCGGTCATGCAGAGAGCTGCCTCGATAGATGACGATTGTGATTTGGAATTGATAACACGGCTGCGTTTGGAGAACAAGGCTCTGCGAGAATTGCTACAAATCTCCAAACAATTTGGCACATTCAGTCGACCTATACGCTTCAACGAACACTTGTTGGAAGAAAAGGGCGTGCAAACAGATTATAGTGGTGATGATTCAGCCGACGAGCTCTCCCTGTCCGGCGCTTCAATCGAAAATGCAAATAACAATTCAGTCATCCAACTGGATACGAGATCAACTTCGCCGAATGTGGCCATGAACTGCTCAAATACAGGACACTGCTCAATTCTCACGAAATTGGCGATGTGGGCGATAATAATAATTTAACACCTGCCACCGACTCGGTAAATGCGACCTCAAATGCGTCAGCCGCTGTTGCTGGAGTGCCAGCAACTGCTTCCAATTCTGAGGAGAACAAAATGTCAGCAACGACTACTACCATAGACCATAACAATCCAAGCGCTTCTGCTGGTATAGAAGCCACAACAATCAATACAACCAACACCATTGCAAAAACTCATCCCTCAAATTCCAATAGCTTGACCACTGCCAGTGCAACATGATGTTGTGTGTCCAGTAATTAATAATTTTTCTCGGATAGAACTTTGATTAATCAACACTCTTTAATACAATGAAATGAATTGTTATAATATATATTTATGTTTCTATATTATGAACATCCGAATGCTCGGCCCTTTCTATTTTCTTGTAAATTCAAGGAAAACATAACAGAGTCATGTTTAAACATAATCTTTTATACTTAAACTAGTTGTTTTTTAAACAAAGAGTCATCCGACACTCTCCCCTACAACTAACCTAAGCCACTTTCCATTTTGTACACTCCTCTCACCACATTAACATATTCCGTCTCTCATCGTCGTCACCATATATAACTAATACACATTTATTCACTTATTTAATTTAATCAAGAAACCAACCCGCAACCAACATTGATATTGACAGAGTATGTACTAATACGTGTGTGTGTCTATGTATAAAGCGAATTATAGAAGGGAAGGCGGCACCTCTCTTGGCTGTCGCCAATTAAGTTCAGATTTTTTTCCTAATCTACCCTTCGGTGTCTCCTATGGACTAGGGGAATCTTAATTCAAACTTTAATTAAGAACTAAAGTAAAAATTATTATAATATGCGCGTACAGAATTAATTAACATGCGTATGTACATTGTAACAATGATCCATTAGGCGATCGATCGCATTTGAAAGCAGTTGAGAACGTTACAACGTTACATTCTTATATCACACAAATAGATAAGAATGCATGATAGATGGAAATGTGAAATAATTTCTGTTTCGGGTGAACTTAATGATCCAAATTACAATGAAAGACAGTTGGTAAAGTTGCTCATCAGGCATATTGGGCAGCGACTTGCAAAGATCGTTTACGATTATTTGTATTTATTAAATGAAAAATTTCTTCTGCATTTATATTTTGTATTTCGATAAACGTAATCTACTTTTTGCCTTAAAATTGCCACAACTTAGTGGGAATTTTACTTAATGAATAGGTATGTGTTTCTAGTTCGGCATATACTAGTAGTTGGTATTTTTATACACTCAGCCTTATGTCTAATGAGGGTATATGCACTTTGATACGTCAAAAGTGTGTCTCATCGAAATTTTTGTTTTAGATCCCATGTTTCTTTGGACCTAATCCGTTCCAAACAATTTGGAGTCAATTTAGAAATGTCCGTCCATCCGTCTGTGCGCATGATAACTCTCGAATGGAGTAACCGATTTCATGCAAACTATGTACATCGTAATCATTTTTTCAAACTTAGCAAAAAAGGTCAAAATTTTGCAGAAAATCAATTTTATAATATCCTGTGCAAAATATATTATCTATACCAATTCTAGATCAAGTCCGAAGATGGGACCCATTGGACCACTACTTCTGGCACCTCCCCAACAAAGGGTGATATTTTCAATATTTATAAATCTAATATTAGGCGAATGGTATGTCCGATTTGGTCCATACTTGACACATCGTAATATTTGTTTCACATTCAAATAAAGTTCGAAGGTGGGGAAAATCGATCCACTCCTTTTGATACGAAATATCAAATATAGGACATGCTACCTATAATAACGGTATTTTTTAAATTCGTTAAAGTTGAATTTGCTTTGGCCAAGCGAATATCGAGGTATTGATCTGATCAACAATCTCCTTGTCTTTAATGAATTGAACTCTACAGCTGAAATTTTTTTAAAGGTTGCCAGCGTTAGAGTAAAACTTAACTTGTGTGATGAATGTCATCGTTCAGTATTACATATATTTGTAGCAAGTTCGTTTTAAGCAGATTATAATATATGAAAAGTGAAAGTTGGGAACGAATAAATAGTTCGCTATAAAAAAAGTTCGTTATAACCGTTGTACTCTATATACCTACTCGATCGTATACATATTTGGGGTCAACCGTGAACAGTGTTGCAAATGGAATGAATAATTTTATTACTCTCCACCTTATGGTGGAAATTTTGAAAACATTGAAAAACAACACTTACCACTTTTTCTCATTGAATATTGGTCGTCTTCGGACATTACCGCAGGTGCAATATTTTTTTAGTCGGAAATAATAGTATATTTATGTATGGGAAAACTATAGCATACCAATTTTTGAAAAAAAAAAAATGAACGGGGTATGTTGCCACTACGCGGAGATATGTAAGTCTAAATTTATTTATATTTTAATATTTAACAGATGTTAATATTTACAAACAATAAAAAACGGTCAGCAGTCACATACCGTTCACAAAATTTGGAAAACACGTTTCCACCAACACCTGTTGTACAGAATTAAAAATTAAATTTTATTATATTATATGCATGTACATTTCAAACGTGTGTGTTTTTGATGATCGCATAAATGGTGTTGAAGATAACACATTTAGAACGTATGTATGTAGTTGTTTAATATTCCTTTCTCCGTACGGATCGTCGATAATACGTGCAGAATGCAGTAAAACTTTTTATTGCACATTTGTAATTTAAAAGGCTTAGCTTGTGAATACATATTCCATAGACGTCTTTTTAAGTTCGACTTAAAACGGTCTCCAAAAAATAAAGAGGCGACATATTTTAACAAAATTCGCTTGATAAAGTTGTACTACGGAAAATGAGGGTAAAACATAATATTTTTATTAGTTAAAATTTTAATATTTAAATTCTCAAATAGTTTTTAGCATCTGCGTTTGTGTTGTTATGTGCGGTACTCTTCACCTCCAGTCAAGTTTTGTATCCCGGACTTAAGATTAGCCGAGTTCCAGTAATACAGTCACGCGGGTCTGTTCAAATATTTTCGACTGTGGTTACAGCCAGCCCAAGGCCACTGCTGCGACCAACTCAATCCCCTAATAAATTATTATAACAATATTCGACAAATTAAATTTCAGATTATATTAGTAAATTATTCCTAAAACGTTATACATAATTCATGTTTTTTTTTATTATCTATATACGTGAACCAAATAATGGATCAGTTGTAAATTTTAACAACATTTGTTCTATATTTAAAAGAAACGACTGTTAAGGGGACCCCCCCATTCTTGGTGTCAAAAATTTTTTTGATTTAATTCGAATCTACTCTAATTCTAGAATGTTCCTACAAAATTTCCAGTGAAAATCTCAAGAACTCTTGAAGATATAGCCGATTTATTGTGTCAGCATCAAGTGACGGCTAAAGGGCTTCTCAACCTTTAAACGCGTTTTTCTCAAAACGAATGGCGGGCACGATAACTCAAAAACTAGTAATCCAATCGGTTTCAAATTTTGACACGTTTCTCTGGGAGTGTGTAGCTCTCGTATGAACTAGGATAAAGCCAATCGGTGAAGATCTTCCTTATTTTTTAACTTAGTTTGTGGTAAAAAATAGGCGATTTTCTATAAAAAAAATTTTCAAAGTTCCGCCATTTTGTTAATTGTTGTGCGAAGTCAATAATCCTAGTTCATACGAGAGCCAGACATGTCCTCTTTCTAACACAGTTGGAATTTTCGGATTCCGATGTTCTAGTGAGGAGTTATCATGCCCGCCATCGAAAATATGGACTTTTCTTTGAACCCAAAAAACAACAACAAAACAACAACAACAACTTTTGGTAAATTATTTTTCTTCTTCTTTAAATCTTCAAATATATACCTATGTGCCAAGTTACAAACCTTAACAAGCATTGGTATTCATTTACCAGCCCATTTAAAATCTTAAAAATAAAAAATGGAGAATAGGGGGGGGATTCCCTTAAAGCGTGAATGTGGCTGTTTAGTGTAGAACGTATGTTTTTTTATATCAAAAATATGTACCGGTATAAATATAAGGATACAAACGTAAACGTACTATAACAGCAAGTGTTGTTGTACAACAACCACATGGAAATTTGTTTTTGTAAGTTGTACTAGTGTCAACGTCAATTGACAGAAAAATTTAAACAAACAAATTATGAACAAATTATATTTATTTTGAAAATGTAATATTTTCAAATCATCAAAATAAAATTAAAAAACATGAATGAAAATCTATCAAATTTATATTTTTATCGCTTCCACATCTTTCTTATAATTAAGCCATTGCCACTTATACGTGTAACACATATGAAAATGCAGGGAAATGCCAGTTATTCCATGAAGAAAGATTTGCTTCCTTAAACTTTTCCAACAGGCAGATTGAGTAAATGAATATAGAAGCACATTTAATAAAGTACAATTTCAAATTGTTGCGTTCCCATTTTTCCTGTTGGGTGATTTTTAGAAACATAATATGTCAAATTCATATCAAATCAGCTGGGAATTGCTGTTACCTTTTAAAATTGTACCATGTTGAAATTTTAAAAAAAATTATTAGTAATTGGTATATTTCATTTTTCGCGTTTTTAGTTTTGTGTTGAAAAAATGTCAAATAATCACAACCACTTGTTGCGTATATTTATTTTATTTTTGGCAGAAGAAGCCACACGTGCATAGTTGATTTTTTGTTATTCAACTCAAGCTGCCCTACCTAGTATTATTGTACCATGCTAGTATGTAGTGACTACACCTAAGTCTGTTTTTACACGGTATATTGGTTCCAGAAGAAGCCGTGTAAAAAAGACATTGATCTTATACACAAAGGGAATTCCCCTAAATTAGTGCTATTCACATTTGCTTTGACCAGCAAAAATTGTTTGTACGTGCTAAAGGGGAATTCACTTAAATCTTTATGTTAGTATTCGCAAACTATCGATGGTTTCAGACTTTTTTCTTTCATAAATACTTTTTTGTGATATGAACATACTTCGCAAAAATTAAATTTGACAAAAAAATTTAAGTACATAAAAT